AGTTATATGCTTGAATTTTATTAAATAATTAAGATTTATTAGTTTATAAATGTATTATAAATTATTATTTATTAATTTATAATATTTAATTCAATAAATTTTAATAATTTATTCATATACAACAAATTAAAAATATAACACACTTTTTTTTGTATTAAATAAGACTTATTTATAAAAATATTTATTATTTTTAAATGATTCTTTCAATTAATATATTTTTAAAAAATATATATATTTTTTTTATTACTATAATTGCTCTGTATAGTATTCAATGATTAAATGGAACATATACGATTTCGTTTAAAAATGAAATAGAACATAATTTGAAGATATATAAAAATTAAAAATTATTTAATTGTCTTTTTCAAATAAGATATAAAATATAATGAATTGAAATTCAAGATAATTATTCAAAATTTTAAGTGAAAATATTGGATTTATTTTCTTATATTTGCTCACCTGTTTTTTTTTTTTTTTTTAAAAAAAAGAAAAAGAAAAAGCAATTGCTCGATCTCCCTTTTTTTTTAATGCGAGTTAATTTCCAAGGCAGAGAACACAATGCATGGAGTACTGTGAGGTTTTTCTTGATTATGGTGATTTAAATTTGTGTGCAATTAATTGTAATTATTAGGATGTTGTTGACCAATTATTTAAAAAATATAATTAATTATAGGGATATAATGTAGTTATAATTAATATATTTAACATTATGGATTAATTAATTATTTATTTTATATGTAGAAAAAAGTAATTAAATTTCACTTGGGTTTGAAAAGCAATTAAAAAAAGAATTAGCCAGCTGTGGTTTGTATGTGTGTGTGCGTGCATAAAAAGTAGAACGAACAAGACTTGAATTTTACCTTGGGAGCTTGCAGCTCAGTAATTTAATTGAGCACCCGCTTAATCCCAACGACCTTTTTCTTATTAATAATAATAAAAACGCTTAAGTAAAATTAATATATATTTTATTAGTATATTAATAAAATTATGTTAAGTTTATTTATAGGTAATAGTGAAAATATTTTATTAAAAAGAAAAGAAAAATAGAAAAAATTAAAATCAGTTTCCGACAAGCCACACATAATTTATAATATATTATCGGTTTATTAAATACTAATAAGTAAGTTAGAAATATATATAATATTTGATTATTTAAAAAGTAAGATATATTTTAATTATAAAATTTAATGTGTGATCAAATAATTTTCTCTATATTTTAAAATCTATAAATAAATATATGGTACGTAATAGCTCTTGCTCTAACATATGTTGTCTATAAATTATATTTTATTTGCATTTTCAATATTTTTAACATAAAAATTAGCTTGTAATGTTAATTAGTCGGTATAAATTAAATTAAGTTTAAATTATTTAATTTGATTTAATTCGATTTTATGTACTCATGGCGTCCATTAGCCATGCCCACATGGTAATTGTAAATAAATAAATAAAGGTCCAAAACCCGATGAAAATATATGTTTTTCTGAATAAAGAGCTCGTTTATACTATTCTTGTCTTGTGTTTTGGCAACGACAAGATGACAAACTACTATTACATATACACATTATGTGTATTGTATATATCATTTATGTATATAGATATATGTGTTTGTGAGCCAGATTTGTAAACCGATTAATGTTACTTCTACATATAACACCTAGAGATGCTTCTCTTAACATCATCACTTTATATAATTTAATCAAATTTCTATACTTGTATCGATGTGTATATATACATTTGGAATATTCAAGTTATATATAATGTATACAATGTATATGTAACATGGTTAACCAGGCCGTGGTCCAGGGACTGGTAACATTTCGAAAATTAATAATTATCTAAGCTTTTTAATTTCATTTAAATTAATTAGTAAATACTAATTAAGACCATCTACACACTAAAAAAAATATATCTATTAACTTAAAAAATTCGAATATAGGTCGATGTATTCATATTTTACAAGTATGATATTTACTATATATATATATATTATTATTTTAAAATATATTTCATTTACTGTAAAACATAATTAAATTAATTTTTTCGTTTCTAAAATTTAACCCGAATACGGTGATCAAACTCCTTAAGCTTATGGGAAAGGCTGTAATTAATTTTATAATGTTGATTATGTGTTAAACACGTAGATTAGTAGTATATAATAAAAATCTAATTTAAAAAACAAAAAAAAATAATAATTGTTTAATTAGAAGGATCAATATAATTATTTGGTCATCCTACAATATGGCATTATACAAGGGTGAGTCACATGCAAATGTGAAAAAAGATTGATTAGATAAATGATTAATGTGGATTCTTATGTTCACGTATAATCCTTGAAATTAATTAATTAATTATAATTACCGAATATTCGCACGCATAAGACCATATTCATTATACTAATGTAAGTTGCTTCTTGCTTTGCCATTCACCTGCATGTGAAGAAATCTCGGGATTGAATCCCTCTGCCATTGTCATTTCAACCAGTCCTTCCTTTTTTAAACTAATATACATCATGTGTTTGTGTGTATATATATATATTTGATTATTTACAAATACAGTTATTTAACAAATGCTTGGTTTATCTGTAATTATAATTATACTAATATTTATTTGCATTTTCCTAATTATTTAGTATTATATTGTTTATCGATTATCAGGAAATACAATCACGTCATAACTAAATATAATTAATTTTTATTTAATTAATGTGCATTTAAAGCTTTTATATTTTATATTTAACGTAAAAGTATTTTTTTTTGGGGGCATGTAATAATAATTTAAACTCATAATTTTTATTTATTAAAGAAAATAACAAAGTGTAATGCAAATATAAAATCATGAAATTATAGACTTTTACGATTTGAAAAATTGGAAAAAGAAAAAAAAAAAAGAAACTGCAAGTTGCATGCATGCGATAAAATTAAATTAGACGACATGCAAAAGACTGAAAGTGCTTTTTGCATCATACTCACGTGCCACTCCATGATTTACATTCGTGTTAAGTTAATTTAACCTTTAATTAATTTATTTATAACCCATTAATTGTTTATATGTATGTGTTTTAATAAAATATAAATGTTGCATTACACATGCAAGGTTAATATATGATTAGAAATCTAGAAAGAGAATTCTATGATTTGAACGTTTGAATTCTTTCCATTGGTTTATACGTACGAAATATTTTATTAAATTTAATTTATTATTATTATTTGGGTAAAATATTGAAGGTAATTTTAAAAAATGAATAATTAATAAATAATTATCATTTAAGTTCATTAATATCAGTTGTACTCATGCCTTTTGATGGGCCTGATCTTACGTGACTCGGGCCCATGAAATGATTTATCGCTATCGTATTTTACCATACGAGCCCAATCTTAACTCCTCACTTAAAAAAACCGATCCAGGCGCAGGTCTCTGTCGTAAGTTCTGCTACCTTCGTTTTCACCTGATCTCGACTATCGTTAGTTAGGGTTTCAATTAAAATTCCGGGGAAGGTAAAGTTAGGTTTTCTTTGGAGGTAAGTATTTCCAATTTATCGTTCTGTTATATGCTACCTGCGGTGTTGTCGAATTAGGGTTAGGGTTCTTGGTTTCTTGTAGCATTTGTGAATTTTGGGGTTGGCCAAGTATTTGGGGTTTCTTGGTTATTGGTGGAATTGGGGAAGTTAGGGGTTTGGAACATGGAATCGGAGCAAGGCAAATTGTTCGTAGGAGGGATTTCTCGAGAGACGAGCGAAGATATCCTGAAGGAGCATTTCAGCAGATACGGTATCGTGTTAGGCTCAGTTGTAGCTAAGGACAGGTGTACGAAGAATCCTAGGGGTTTTGGCTTTGTTTGGTTTTCTGATTCTTCATCAGCTGATAAAGCTCTTCAAGACACTCACGTTATACTAGGAAGAACGGTCAGTTGGTGTACCATTTCTTTATTTCTTTTGTTATTCCTTTTTCTTGTAAATAAAAGACGTTTGGAGAACGATTCTTGCTTCCTGTGGAAATTTTTGTAAAGTAACAGAAAAAATTAGGTTTCTTGTTGTTAAGTTAGGTTAACTGGAAAGTTACATTAAATTTTAATACCCTCAATTGATTTTAAAGTTGGAACTGGAAGACAAGTTCCAACTTCAAATTTCACTTTTTTTTGCCGGAGTTATGAAGAGAGCGAATAAGTTGAAGTACCATTTCACTTTGTTCTGGCTTTCTAACTTTAATTTAATTTTTTTTAGGTAGAAGTGAAAAAAGCCATACCCAGAGGTGAACAACATCAAAACCATCAGCAACAACTGCAAAAAAATCAACCCAGAGAACAACAGAATTTTGGAGAGATTGAAATTAATGGTAATGGTAACATCGATAATCAGTTTAGAACTAAAAAGATTTTTGTAGGTGGTTTATCAGCTAGTTTAACTGAGGAAGAGTTCAAGAATTACTTTGAGAGGTTTGGTAGGATAACTGATGTAGTTGTGATGCATGACAGCATGACAAACCGGCCTAGGGGCTTTGGCTTTGTTACCTTTGATTCGGAGGAATCTGTTGAGAATGTTATGCAGAAGAATTTTCATGAGTTGAACAGTAGGTTTGTGGAGGTAAAGAGGGCCGTACCTAAGGAGGGAATTCATGCCACTAACAGTAATTCTAACACACAGTTTGGAGTTGGTACAGGACCTTCCTATAACAGTTCTCAGTTTTGTGAGTACCCTCCTAATAGTCCTGCATATGGGATGCTCCCTGGTTATGGTCCTCCTTCCGGATACACTGGTATTGGTGGATTTCTTTACGGAATGGGTGTTTATGGTTGTGGTTACCCTATGGTCGGATATGATGGGGTTGGTTATGTGGTTCCTCCTCTTGCTCCTAGGAGCCCTTGGTACCCTCCTGTGATGCCTGGAACTAGGATTTGCTCTCTGCCTTATGGCAATGCGCCAGTTTATCCTGCTTACATGAATGGTGGTGTTGATCCTATGGGTATGGTGGGAGGTGGATACAATGCGATAGGAGGGCCTGGATTGGACTTGAAATTGGATCAGGTTGTTGGTGGGAATGGACACTTGCCAGTTGACTCGATATCAACCCAATTTGAAGGTTTAAAATTGGATATTGATTCTTTGGGTTTGAATAAAACTGGTGGTGGTGCCTCTAGCAAACAGAAAAGGAGAGGTCTTGATGGAAAACCTAAAACTTTACATGTAGATGTTTCTAGATAACCACTATGCATATTTCTTGTGGGCATTGAAGGGTTAGTAAATTCTTTTACTGATTGGGTTAGGGCTGATTTAACTGTTTCTGTTTAGGTGTCTGTTTTCTTTAATTTTATTTTCTGTTTCATAACCATGCTGTTTGCTACCATTTGACTCTAGTTTAGTAATTCCAGTACAGAATCAGCCTTCTGTAATATAAATGCTTTCACCTCAGCTTTCTCTGTGCTTCTCTTTCCTGTTTGTTAATGAAGTAGTAAATGATGTTGGACCTGAAAATTGTATTCTTATAACTAATAGACCTTTAAGTATTGCTGCTTTCAGGTATTGACATTACTAAGGATCTCATTCAGTTGTCTTAACCTTATTTTGTTGTTTTCATTTTTCATTTCTTGTAAAGTATTCTTGTACATTATGGTCTATGAGTAATTAGCTGTTGGATACTTTTTCTCGCTCACTCGAGTCCTTTTGTGTTCCCTTCCTTTTGTACCTTTTTCAAAGCTCCTTCTTTGCAGGGCAACTTAATTGTCTAATTTACTTTTGTTTTTCTTTTTGTTTTTTCTTTGATAAATTGTGTGCTTTGCATGATCAAAGTCAAGAATTAGTACTATTTACTGCCTTTACGTTTTTGGGGCAAAGTTTTATCATTGACCTTTTGAAGTAATTCCCCTGCTGATGTCCTTATGAGCCTAGTAAAGTCTGACTATGAATATTTGTTGGATTGAAATTCATTTAATGTTTTTTTCTACTCAATGCTTTGTGGTTTTGTGTCCCTGGAACTGATTCCATCATCTTCCTAGGAAGGGTCTATGGTTGATCGTGCTCTGCAAATATTATCACAATAGAAATCTTTTTTTGGCATTTGGTTCTTTCCTGACTTGCGGATGCTTGTGTAGAGTAGGAATGTTTAAGCAGAATAACAAGCTTAGCAGTTGGCAGGACCCATGAAGTTGGAAGTGGTGGATTTTGGTTTGTTTTGATAGGAGGGAAAAATCCAAGTATTTTCATCTCTTGAGTGTTCATATGGGTATATTTAGTCATATACATAGTACATGAGAAATCATTGTGGTCTTTGGAGGTTTCTTTGCCGTAATGGCAGAACTGTGGCTTTGACATCTTATTTCTAAATATACATTCGTTCTTCAACTTCCTTTTATTCCAGTAATGGAAAGTTGGCAGATATTAAAAGGAACATAAATTGTTTCTATTTTTCTTATCTGCATCCTCCAATCGAAAAGCAATATTACTTGCTTGTCAGATTTGTTTGGATTCTTTGCGAACGTAGGTTACCCATTTTGATAGTATATACTTTCCATCAGCTACATTTCCATGTATCAGTTAACCCATATGGGATGATGAGCATTGAGGGAGGAAGGTGTAATTTTACCGAGCTTACAACTTGAGGCAGACTGCCCTGGCTGGATATCTCTTGTTGATGTATGCGGTTTACATGAAGCGTTTTGTATGGTTTGGTGCGGATTTAGTGATTGCTTTTCTTTTGAGCGTTTCGGAAACGCTGTGGTAGCTGGGCTTGCTGCAAGAAGAAACTTGCTGTTCTTGGTTGAGAACGTCGGCTCTATGGCCAGCCAAAAAATCAAGAGGTTGCAATTGCATAAATGCCAAGTTGTCGTTGAAAATAACTTGTTGGATGGTCTTGCCTGTTAATTCTGTAGATGTTATAAAATCTGATAATTAATCTGGGAAATTTTAAGGGAATTTATTATGTAAAGAATTTAAATTTGAACAAGAGATGCTAGATTGGCAGTGAAGAAAAAATAATGTCAACTGGATTAGGTGAAAAATATACTTGTTGAAAACGTAAAAATATTTTGCAAGAGTAAGTCTCCATTGTAACTTTTGAATTTTTCTTATTAAAATTAATTTCCATTTTTTTTAATAATTTAAAAGTGACATTCACGAGAATATTCTAATTCGTAGCTTTTTATGCGTAGATTGATAAAAGAATAGATGTTTAATATAAAAAATTTCCAACAATCAAATTTATCTTTTAAATTATTTTTTGTATTTCTGAAATAATATGGTGTCGTAAATATTTTTAAAGTAGTTTTATAAATTACGAATAACTTCAGAATTGTGACAGAGTACAAATTTTAGGGCCGTGAGCTGGTCCAATTGGTGCGGGTGACTTTGAATTTATTTGTCTGTTTATCTCCTTGGTTCAGTTTCAGACAAAAAAAGTTGAAACGGCAAACGAGTGGCAACTGTAGGAGGAAGAAGAGGAGAAAATGCTGGTTCTGAGCTCTCCAAACGGGCCTCTGTCAGCCAGGAGATGTACGCTTTCATCCCCTTCACCTCTCAAATTCGTGGCCAAGCCAACTTCCACTCCCTTCTCCTACCCCTTCTTCATCCCCATCTCCAAACGCCGACTCCGTCTCCCCATTGCCAAAGCCGATGGCGGTCTCGATTCAGCCTCTGCTACTAAACCTTCTTCAATCTCTCCTCCTCCTCCCTTCCCCAATGAAGATACCGTTCTCGTCGGTCAAGACACTGTCCCTCTCGAGGGCGTTATCCAGTTCGATAAACCCAATTTTTCTTCCCGTCTCCGCAGATGGGGGTAAATTCTTTTGCAACAGTTTCTTTTATATCTTTTTTTTAAATTATTTTTTTGGCTTGTTATTTCCGATGAATGAATTTTGAATTCGGACTTTTGGGTTCCAGTCGTCTGGGTTTACTTGCAGGTGGGGATGTACTGGCGTTGTTATTGTTCTCTGCAATTGGAAGATTCAGTCATGGGTTTCCTGTCCTCGGCATTGAAACTTTGCGTACTGCTGACCCTTTTATTGCCGGTATAAAGTTTTCTTTTCTTTTGATTGAAAGAACTTTGTTTGATTGTTTTTAACCAGATTATGTGTATTAGGATGGTTTTTGAGTGCATATT